GACATCTGTAATACTTTCAACGATAATTTTTTAAAAATTAAAAAAAGAAAGATGGTCTGGCACATAATGCAATATACAAATCATGTATCATAGGAATGTACACTTTGAAACCTATATGATCTTATTAGCCAACTAGAGGCCTGGTGCATGAAATTCGTGCACGGGGGGGGGGAGGGGATGTGTCCCTCAGCCCAGCCTGCACACTCTCCAATCTGGGACCCCTCGAGGGATATCTGACTGCTCATTTAGGCCCGAGTGGGATCGGGCCTAAACGGGCAGTCGGACATCCATCTCACAATCCAGGACTGCTGGCTCCCAACCACTTGCCTGCCTGCCTGCCTGATTGCTCCTAACCATTTCTGCCTGCCAGCCTGATCACCCCCTAACCACTCCCCTGCCAGCCTGATTGACGCCTAACTGCTCCCCTACTGGCCAGATTGCCCCTAACTGACCTCCCTTGCCAGCCTGGTCGCCCCTAACTGTCCTCCCCTGCAGGCCATCTTGTGTCCACATGGGGGCGGCCATCTTGTGTGTTGGAGTGATGGTCAGTTTGCATATTACCGCTTTATTATATAGGATGTCATGCCAATAAATTTAATTTTTAAAAAAGGAAGTGTTCTGAGGTGACTCACTTAGTAGAATACAAATGAAAGTGCTGGTACCTGTGCGTCAGGTAGTCCAAGGGGTGAGTTTCACGTTGACATGGATTGTGGGTTGTTAATTTTAATATTTTTGCATTTATTTTTATGAAGACATCCTTTCCATTTGTGAAATATAGTTTCCTTTTTAAATAAACTTTTTTTTTTACAGAGTTAATTTTGAGACAGGCATTATGTATGGGAATATGGCAACTTACATGCAGGTGGTGGGCAGAGGCTGAGGTTGGGGGTTGCTGTCTACACTATCCACTTGGCTTCCATGGAGGGATTTGCAGGGAGATGCAGATGTAGGTGCTCTTTTTTCAGGAAGAGGAAGTGGGACCGTGCTGTCTCTCCATACACAAGCCCCACTGTGTCCTGTGGCCCACATTCTAACCGTTCCTTCTGCCTAGAATGCTCTCACTCAAGGTCTTCACCTCACTGGATATTTCTCTTCATTCAGCTCAAAAATAACTTCCCCAGGGGGCCATGATTGACTGCCTTATTTAAGGTGGTCTCCTTTAGTGACCCACTCTGCATTTCCTTCCTGGTGCCGATCACTCAGGAACTGTCTCTGACTGCTTGCCTGTTTTATCCACTAGCCTGTGACTTCCTGGAGGGCAGGGACTTTGCCTTATTGCAAAGCCTAATGCAAGACCTGTACCACATTCAGAGCTGCAAATATTAGTAAAATGAAAGTGCTGGGATCGCTCACCTCCAACTGTAGCCCTTCTCACAATGCCAACTTGTACTGGTAGTCAAGGGGGAGGGGAGGAGAGAAAGTGAAGAGGAGAGAGAGAGAGAGAATCACCAAGGCAGTTTGTGGTTGAGCTTCAAACACATTTATTTCACTTTTATTGAGTATACAAGAACAGAGAGCACACGCATACAGCACGGAGCACTGAGGTGGGGGAGCGTGGGGACCAGAGAAGAGAGAGGGGTGTGAGTAAAAAGGAACAGGACAGCATTGCAGTTGTTTGGTAAGGTGCTTTTGGGGGGAAAAAAAATTAGAGTGATGTTGCTCATGCAATTTCAGGCCAGTCTTGGAATGTGCTTGCAGGATTCAAAACCCGAAACAGGTCCTGGAACTTCCTGTCCTCTCAGATGGAAAAGATCCAGAGAAAGCAAAGTAAAATGAAAGTCTGTGGGATGGCAGAGCAGAAAAAGGCCCTGGGGAGCATCTGGCTTATCCACGTCCTTTTACAAGTGCGACGGGAACCGAGGCCCCAGGAGAGCCCAGACGAGCTCGATGGCACATGGTGAGCCAGGCACCGAGCCAGGATGGCCACGAGCACTCCTGCCCACCCTCTGGGACTTCTCCACTATGCTACATGGTCTCTGGGGTGGAGAGGCAGCACAGAAAGAAGGAGAAATAGAAAAAAGAAAAAAGGAAAAGGAGGTGGAAGACAGACAAGACAAACGTCGATGTATGGCACATGGTGAGCCAGGCACCGAGCCAGGATGGCCACGAGCACTCCTGCCCGCCCTCTGGGACTTCTCCACGATGCTACATGGTCTCTGGGGTGGAGAGGCAGCACAGAAAGAATGAGAAATAGAAAAAAGAAAAAAGGAAAAGTAGGTTGACGACAGACAAGACAAACGTCGATGTTCTTTGTGAAGAGGAGCATGGGGAGGAAGCAGTGCCCTAGATTTAGCTTGCAGCTCCCCTCCTCCCTGGGGGCACTGACTGACTCTCGTGGAAGGAAGGTCAGAGCATTGGTGGGGTAGAGATCTCCACCAACGCCACTGGCCCATGAGCTAAGCCTGGTCACTCATCCCTGCCCTGAAGCCACACACCCAGGGTCTGTAGGCAGGTGGAGAACCCAGAAAAAAATAATTCTCCCTCTGAAGTGTGTTCAGGATGCCTGATTCCGGCAAAGATGGGGTGCCTGAGTCAAATTCTGGGTGAGCCAGAGCGGGTGGGGCTACACCAGCTTTTGGCCCAGAACGAGTGGGAGCTCTCAGGTTGAAAAGGGCTTCTGTATCAGGAACGTAAAAAGAAGCTTGGTGCATGGCAAGTGTGCTGTCGCACTCAGGGGGAGCTGGAGCAGCCCCCTGGCTTGCTCTGGGGGGTGTGTGGCTGATTCTGCCATGGGATGCCCAGGTTCAGGGCTCTGTGCCCTCCCTCCATCCCATTTGTGTCCACAGAGGCACACTATTCTGGTTTCTTGTTCTGTCCCAGGTCAGCACCAAAGCAGCTAAGCGTATTTATCCTTGGGGTAATTGATAAGCCTGGGCTCTCTGGCGGGCATCCGTGGGCAACGTCCAATAATTGGAGAGAATGCAGAAATGCTCTCAGAGAGACAGCCCTGGTTAGAAATGTAAGGCTGGCTCAGGGGGCTTCCCAGGTGCCTCCATGTGCCCCACATTCTCTCAATCCAAGAATAGTGCCTGGCACAAGCAGGTACTCAATATATATTTGTTGAGTGAGTTTATCAACTGCTTCAGAAACAGGACTGGGGAGGTGAGATGGGACTGATACATTAAAGTGCAGTGGGACACACTCCCTCAGAAGGGGACTCATTGAGCTCAGGGGGCCAGCTTGTGCCAGGAGAGCCTGGGAAAGCCCCTGTGTGTCAATGCCAGGCTTTTGATGGGTTTTCTCCAAGGGCTTCTGCGGTCTTGAGGCAATTTCTGGGACTCTGAGGGCACAGGCTCAGAGCTCAGATGCTGACCGAAGGGGAGGTCTCCAAAGCCAGGGTCTAACACGTGGATGGAGACTGTGAGCAGCACCACCTTTCATCCTCAGCTTTGACCTAGGCCTACCCTGTGTTTGGGGTCGCTCCCATGGCTGCTTCAGCCCAGGAAGAAGAGAATGACTCAGACAGAGAACAGCAGTGGTAGAGGAAGAGACCGAGCTGGGAGTTTTCAGGCAGCCGGATAAAGCTACCATCCTCTGCAGTGGCCAAGGGCATCAGCCCCCTTGGGATGGGGAGTTCGCTACCAGGATTTGGTCAGGGAAAGGCAAGACATGTGGCAAAAAAACCCAGAGGACTGAGAACAGAGACAAACCCCCTTAGGGAGCTAGGGGGACTGAACCAGGGGATCTGCAGCAAAATCCTAACTCTGGGCCCCACATCTGAGCATGGACCAGGCCCTGGTTGTTACTGCCCAGGGGAGAAGGCATCTTGGACCACAGCTGTGTTGCTTCCTTCTTGCCAAACCCCCGCTTCTCCATTCAGGGACCCCTCCCCTCCCCACCAATCAACCAATGACAAATATCACACACTGAATTACTACACTGAACCCGTCAGCTCCTACTGTGAGCAGCCCACAGCCAGAGTCCAGGCCTCCTTGGCTGGGCCGGTTTCAGTGAGATCTAGGAACCTTGGGATACATCAATCACAGTCAGATAATTATAATTTTAAACTGTCAGCTTCATACTTACCAGCACTGTTTATTTTAATATTTGTTTCCCGTTATATGTCATATACATAACTTAAAAGCACATCCATACAAATCTCCTACAAGCTGCACCTTCGTAATGAGAACCATAAACATACAATGTCTACTTCCCTTCCTGCGGCATGGTTTCCCGTCCCTGCTTTCTTTTCTTTTTCTTGTTTCAAATGAGTCATCTGCAGTGGCCCTCAGCAGGACCCGGACAGAGGGCAAGGGGTGCAGGGTTGGGCGGAGGGAGTCGAGACAGAAAATGACGACAAGACTTGTGAGGGGCAGGGGAGGCGGAAGAAAGGAAGGTGGATTTTGCAGCCCAGTGTCAAGACCCATAAAATAATAATCCAGTGTTCCTCCTCCTCCTTTCCAAGTGGGAAATGTCTTTTCTTTCTCGTTGTGTGTCTTGCTGCTTCAACTTGTCTCGCTTTGCTGCAAAAGGGTTTTCCTTTGCACTTGCATGGGCAGCAGACACTGGAGAACAAACGGAAGGTCCGTCCACCGGATGTGCTGCGCAGTCGGTGCTGCATCCCTGCAGTCATCCTGGGCCGCTTGCTCGCGTCGCTCCGCAGGCCTTCGAAGGGGATAGCGAGGGATTATTGGCATTATAATTTTTTTTCCTGAAAAATCCCACCAATTCTTCAATTTGTCTGCAAAGGAAATGTAGGTGTTCAGATGTTGGTTGTTGCTGTTGGCCGACTGCTCGGCCAGCCCCAGAAGCAGTGCAAGGATGCAGTGTTTCCTGTATATATATCTATATCTATATATATCTATATATATATATATATGCTTTTCCTCTCCCAGTCTCTCATCAGTGACAGTACGTCGCAGCTGGGACGTCGGTGTTGACTCGGAGAATCCAGAATGAAGGCCCCTTCTTAATGGTTCTCTGGCTTGAGTTGGACCAGAAACGCCAGCATCTCTTCATAGAGGTCAGGATTCCTGAAGCCAGAGTTGTTGTGAGGGTGGGGCGGGGAGGGACACAAAGGAAGGAGGAGGATAAGAAAAGTTAGTAACTTTTTGTCACCCACCTGCAAATACATGGCAAGGTCGTTTTTAGTGAGCCGTTACCGTGGGCCCTTTATTATGGCTCAGGAAGACAGAAACTTGTCTAAGGCCAGGTAGCTTGCGAGTAGCAGCTGAGAACTAAACCCACATCTGTCAGACTCCAAGGCTTGTTTGTTTCCAGGGAAGTGGTATCTTTCCCTTTGGCCTGAAAATCTGTCCAAGTTTCCTTTAACACTGAGAGGCTAATATCACACTCAGTTCACTTTTTCCTCCTATCACCTCTCAGTTCTAAGAAATGTTTAGTCGTGATGACATGTTCTTCTTTTGATTTTTTTCTTTCTGTTCTCCTTGGGCCTGCTGTGCCCTGGGGATTAAACCCCAGAGGGCAGTGTTTAAATAAAGAAACTGGAGCCTGGGGTCCCAACTCAGGTTTGACTCCAAAACGTAGTGGTTAAGGCCATGGGCCCTGCAATCCCGAATCCCGGTTCAAATCCCACTCTACAGCCCACTAGCTCTGCACAAGTTTCTTAACCTCTTTAGGCCTCAGTTGCTTCCTCTGTAAAATGGGTTCTGCCTATAACTGCCTTAGTTATAAGTAGGATTCAAAACAAGGATCAGCATAGAGTAAGTGCTAAATAAATACAGGCTGTTCTTGTTATTAGTGTTGCTGTTGTTAATGTAACCACATGCTATTCTGATCTCCTTTAGGACAAGGACTGTCTTTTACTTATTGCTGTCTTTCCAATGCCCAGCAAAATGCCCTGAACATAGCAACTACCCAAAACTATGTAACAGGTGGCATGTCATTCTTGCCTTTTTTTACTCACAGATGGTCAAGGGCTAATAAAGTCATATAGATGCGATCCTCTGTTTCTTTCCCAAGATGGAAAATCTGAGGCCCAGGTTCAATGACTGAGCAAGTTGATTAGAACCCAGAGCTCCTGCTTTGGAACAGGCCAATTATTTTTTCCCCATTTACTTAGAATTTTGTAGGTAAGAAAGCTCTAGGGTGCTGGGTAAGTGCCACCCTCTTGCTGGCGGGGTTTGAGAGACAGGCCCTGTGGAAGCAGGCAGGCCAGTGGGAGATCATGGAGCAGAAGCCACACATCTGGCCTGCGAGGTTGCAGAGAAAAGAGAAGACTGTGTGAGGTAAGTGTGCTTTCCACACTCACAGCAAGAACTTTAAGAAGGAAGAACTTCCAGAAAGAGGCCGAGTAGAATGGAGCAGAGAGATGTCTCTGGAGGATTTGGGGAGAGAAGATAAAGGCCAGCAAGATGGAAACCCGGGTGGAAACAGGGCCCTGTGCACCTGGCTGGTGGTGGAGGGTTACAGTCTGACTTACTCAGGACTCTCATCCCTAAACATGGCAAAACCTCAAGGAAAAAGACACTGGGCGGTAGGGGAGGCCAGGGGATTGTCAAGGGCGGGGGAAAAAAGGACACATATGTAATACCCTTTGTAATACTTTAAGCAATAAAAAAAGTAAAAAAAAACAAGTAAAAAAAAAAAAACTTCAAGGAAAAGGAAGCAGGTCCACCCTGCCACGCACCTTCTGCCTGTGAGACACCGCCCTGGTATGCTGCCCCCAAATTCACTTATGGAAGCCCTAATCCTCAAGGAGGTGGCATTTGGAGGTGGGACCGGAGGTGAAGTCCTCATGAACGAAATTGGTGCCCTTGTAAGAAGAGACGAGAGAGAGAGATTATCTTTGCTCTCAGCCATGCGGCTTGTTCCAAATTGGCCTGTTCCAAAGCAGGAGCTCTGGGTTCTAATCTGTTCCAAATTGGCCTGTTCCAAAGCAGGAGCTCTGGAACTTGTTAAATCATGGAACCTGGGCCTCAGGTTTTCCATCTTGGGAAAGAAACAGAGGAGGATTGCATTTACATGACTTTATTAGCACTTGACCATCTGTGAGTGAAAAAAGGCAAGAATGACACGCCACCTGTTACACAGTTTTGAGAAGACAGTTGTCTGAAAACCAGAAAGTGGGCTCTCACCAGGAACTGAGCTGGCTAACACGTTGGCCTTGGACTGTCCAGCTCCTATAACCGTGATAAATAAATGTGTGTCATTTAAGCCCCCAGTCTGTGGTATTCTGTTGTAGCCACTCGAACTAAGAGCCACAGATGTTGTTTAATTATTACAGCAGCTCCACTTTAGAGATGAGCTCCCATCTGTAGATGAGGAAACCTTGGCCCAGGGAGTTCACCTGGGCACACTGCTGGCCAGGTGTTTCTGTGCCAAAGCCTGGCTGTGTTCCTTCTGCTCAATTCTGCTGTGTCCTGAGGGTTTTGTCTTACAGGGGCAGGCTGTATTTTAAGTTTGCTCCCCGACTAATAAAATGTAAACAGGATTCTGGCTACATGGGATGTCTTTAAAAGTACCGGGGACGCCTAAAGTGTGCCATTTACATTTATTCTTCTTGGATTATTGCCGCAGAGTCCGAATGAGCAGCATTTTGTTGGCCTACTTTGAGTTAATAGTAATAATAGTCATAATTAACTTCTATCCAGCACTTACTCTGTGCCAGGCACTGTGCTAACTACTGCAGATGTCCCACCTCAGTACCCACTGACAATCCTGTCTCCCCTTTTCTTACTACTTCTGATTTACTTTTCTGGGTCTAGGGCAGGGGTCCTCAAACTATGGCCCGCGGGCCACATGCAAATACAAATATTGTATTTGTTCCCGTTTTGTTTTTTTACTTCAAAATAAGATATGTGCAGTGTGCATAGAAATTTGTTCATAGTTTTTTTTTAAACTATAGTCCGGCCCTCCAACAGTCTGAGGGACAGTGAACTGGCCCCCTGTTTAAAAAGTTTGAGGACCCCTGGTCTAGGGCCTTAAACCCCAAATAACCCAGGAACCAGGCTTCTTCCCCACTGTGATTCATGATGTCTGGTGGGTGGGGGGGTCAAAGCTGTGACAGGGACCAAGCCACAGGGTGGGTTCTCTGATGGAAACCACGCTCAGAGGACCTTGCCACAGTTCCCTCCTCCCTCTCACTGCTGCTGAACCTCCTGAGCCTTACCTGTGGCTTCTTGTCCCTCTCCTCCGGGGATGGGTCTGTTTCTCTGTATACGACAGCTTTGGTTACCAGCATGTCAGGATGCTGAAGTTTGGCCTCCTTGATGGCCAAAGCCAGGGCCTGGTGGGAGAGAACAGCAAAGTGAGGAACCACAGAATATCAAATACGAGAGACTATGGAGACCAACAAGCCGCCTATTGCACAGCTTGCAGAACAGGAGGCCCAGGGAGGGGCAGTGGTCAAAGAATTAAAGGAAGAGACTAGAGCCTGAGTCTTCTGGCTCCTCCTGAATCCCATTCAATGTCCTTTCCTTGGGGGCCCCTTGTCTAGATAGGATGGGCAGAAAGTGTACATCTTCTTAGCCCACAAGGGCAACCATCCATGAGTAACCCAATATGGCAGGGATCGGGGAGTGGGCAGTGCCACTGGGAGTAGCGTTCCTCATTCCCATACCTGGTCTTGATCAACATCTTCGTCCCCGGTAATAATGATTCGCTTCTCGATCCTCGTCTCAGAAAACCCTCCTTTCACAGTCTGCAGGGGGAGAGGGAGGCAAGGTCAGCCTTGGGTCCTGCTGGACCAGCAGCTGTGACAGGAGACCTGTCCAAAGTATCCCTCAAGGGCATGGCTGGAACCAGCAGTCACCTCTCCTGGCTCCCTCAGATTTTTCCTCTTCTGGTTGTGGGACTTCAGACTGCAGATCTAGCCTGGTGGCCACCACTCCCCCAAGCACCACACTGTCCCCTCTAGATCTCCCAAGCCCAGATCAAATGCTCTCCCTGACCCTGGTTGGCAATCCTTCCACCTTCCTGCCTCAGTACTCCCCGAACACCAGATTCATCTCTCTCATGGTTCTGGGCCTCTGCCCTTTGCCGACCTTTTGTGCAGGACCTGGCCTTGCTCACCAGGCTGGAACTCTTGGGGACAGGAGTGTCTTTTGTTCATCTCTGTATCCCCTCCTCCCCACCCCTCTGTTCAGCCTGACCAGGACAGGTGCTAAATGCAAGTTTGTTGAATGAACACATGAATGAAATGTGAATGGTGACAAGGTTCTACCTTAAATGACTTCAAACCACAGTACAAGAGAAATTTCGTTGACACTACTGGTAACCACCACTGTTTTCTGAAGGGGCAAGTCTGGGCGTAAGTTTAGAAGTAGAATTGCTTGGCATATTCAAGGAGGGTGGTGGCTGAGAGAAGTTCTGGCTGGAGTCAGAAGTGGACAGAAAGAAGTGGGGGAGGGGAGGGGACTCCCAGTTTGCAGGGCTAGGAGGGACTTGGGGAAAAAGAGTTTTCTGAGCTGTATTCGGTGGGGTGTGTGATAGAAAACCTTCCCATAAAGCTTTCAGTGAAATAAATATTGCTTACTAACGCTTTTGGTGAGAGTGGGTGCTTTATGGGGACTGTGCAGAGGTGCTGAGTCCTACAGAGGAGGAGGCGGGGCTGGGGCAGTGTATAAAGGGCCAGTGCCACCTATCAGACTTCTTCAGATAGCTCAGCAGAACCTGCAACTCAACCTGGCTCCCTGGCATCTCTCCTTCAGGCCTCCATCCCTGGCCTGGGATCCCTCCTGCTTCCTTCTGGCTACTCAGTCATGAACATGCCAGCCAACCTTCAGCCCCGTGTCTTCATTGGCTGAGTCACGGCTGACGCATCAGGAATGCCTCCCTTCTTGGCCATTCCTCTTCCTTCTCCCACTCTGACTCCCACCCTGGTCCAGGCCCTCCATCCCTAGTCTCTCCATCACTCACTCCCTTCTTTCTCCCATCACCCTGCACATCCTGGTGGATCTAATCTCCTCTCCTTAAACCCCTTCTCACTGGCTCACTCCCCAGTTAAGAAACATTGATGGTTTTCCAATAGCTCTCAGACCAGGGCCCTCCATCGCCACATTTGTCCTGGAATTTGTGTTATTTGTCTCTATTCTGCTTCCTCTGGCCCCAGTCCAACCCAATTTCCCACAGTTATGCTGCTTCTTGCTACCAGAGAACACTGCTCCTGTTTCCCACAACATGCATTGCTTACAGCCCCTCCACTAGCCCCTCAGAGTAAAATCTGCTCAGTGAACAAATAAACAAATGCAGTTTCTGCTCCCGTCTTCTGCACTGCGTAGTACGCCTGCCGCTGTCCTCTCCTCCCCTCACAAGTCCTCCCTGGATTTCCAAGACCCTGCGCAAACCCCACTTTCCCCAGAAGATCCTTCTCACTCTTTGAGCCTTCCTCATATCACCCCTCTAAGTCCCTCTGGCACTTAAGGTCTGTAAGATGCAAATGCTATGGTCCACGGTGACTTCCAAGGAGATGGTCTCATCCCCCAAGCCTGACTGTCAATGTTGAAGAGCAGGTCCATGCCCAGGACAGACCGTAACACGGACCAAGCACACGGCACTCCTGGAACTGGGAACGCCACGGGTCTTCTCTGTCCATGTGACAGTGGCAGTGACCTTCCCAAGCCCCACGGCCAGGCTGGGCCCTGTGGCACCTGCTGCTACTCACTTTAGTAACATGGGTGGTGGTGGAGGTGGAGAGGGTTTCCGCGGTGGCGCCGTAGGTGCTGGTGAGGACATCTTTCCCGATGATCTGCGGAATATAACCACCCCCCACCCGGGATCAGGTGAGGATGCTGGCCGCTGCAGGGTGGAAGCGGGGTGGGTAAACCAAGGGACAAGTTGGGGAGGGGTCCCATGAAGGTGGGCTGGGAAGCCAAGATGCTACGAACCACTGAATCTAAGAATTCAGGAATACTGGACTCTTCAGAGTGCTAAACCCACAAAATTCTCAAAGCCTGGAATCTGAGATTCCTACAACCTGAGATTCCTAAGGCCCAGAATTCCAACAAGACCCTAGAATTTAAGAATCCTGGCATCTTAGAAGAATGACCAGAGGGATCCAAGGTGGAAACAGAGCCCCCTCTCAACCCCCCACCCTTCCAGAGCCCGGAGCGTGTTCTTTCGTGGGCTAGATGATGCGAATGACAGATCTGGAGAATACAGGAGTTGCAGGAGACCTCACAGGGACAGACACGGCTCACAGGGCAGCCACCGACAGAGCCAGGTCCAGAAGTCAAGCCTCTGGACTCCTAACCCATTGCTCCTCCTGGTCAGTAAGGAGAGCAGATGCAGAAGAGCTACCACTTCACAGGCACCACCAAAGGGAGGCGCCACTTCACCCCCACATTGCCAATGCCCTGCTTGGGGTGGGGGGAGGAACGGAGGGCAATGGACAAGATTCTGGTGGGCACCAGGGAACCTGTGGGCATCTGAAAATGATATCGTTTCCTGGTGCTGCATTCGAAAGGGAAGCCTTCTGGGCTCCACGCTGCACTTGCTGCAGGCCACCTGCGGACCCGGGTCCACATACTCAGCGTGGAGTCCCCTAGCCTGAGCTGGCCTCGCCCACTTACCGGAGAAAGAGAACGGATTTCCGTGGCCACCGTCTGTGGGCCTGGGATCATGGCAGCTGCCCCGTTCCCGGACTTGAGACTGTTCTCCTGGGGAAACAATAGTGCTCAGATGGCCAGGTCTCAGGTGGGTGGCCCCCAGGATGGCCAGGGCACGTGGCCATGTAGCTCTCATGGCCACAGGGTTGACATTAGAGGCAGAGAGCTGAAGGCATCATTTGGCTCAATCTCCTCTCACTCGTCACCCACTCACTCACTCATGCACACACTTACACGCTCACTCAACTCATTCATTCAGCAAATATTTGCGGAGTGCCTGGCATGAGGGACACTGTGGTGAACAAGACATGGCTTTGCTCTCGGGAAGCACTGACAAAAGGGCTGAGACAGGCAGGTTCTCGCCCTGGTCCTGCCATGTTCTGGCCACGTGACCTGGGGCAGAGCCACCTCCCCTCTGTGGGCCTCATGAATGCACCTAGAAAAGGGCAGCCCTGCCATGTGGGGTCATCAGTGGAAACAAATGTCCCGCTCTAGTCTCCCCCACTCGGCTGATGACGGGGGAGACTCTGTGAGCGGGGCAGTGGGCATTCCGAAAATCTCTTTACCTTCTGCTCAATTTTGTTGTGAATCTGCTAAAACTGCTCTAAAAGTAAAGTCTTAAAAATATGTTTTTAAAATGGGACCCCTGCCCTACTCCCTCAGAGACAGTATGAGGCTAACAGAGGAGAAAGAGCTTTGCAAATGGAAATCTACAGTATGAATACAGTATAGGCTGGCTACTAATAACATCATAATAACTACTGTGTTCTGAGTCCTTGATAGTACTAGGTATTATCCTAAGGATGCACTGTCTCATTTAGTCATCAGAACAAATCATTTTAATATTCCTGTTTTACAGCTGGAAACTGGAGGGCCAGAGAATGTTAAGTGGCTTGTTCAAGTTCCCCAGCAAGTTAGTGACAGAGCCCGGATTTAGACCCATGTTCGTCAGACTCCAGTCCAACACGCTCCTTCCACACACCCCTGCCCTCCGAGTTCCCACCCGTGAGCCAGCTCTCCTGGTCCTACACTGGATTCTGACGGGCAGATATTCCTGGAACTGGCTCCAGATTTACTGGCCCACATCTGGCAAGAGGCCAGGCTGCCTGCCTCTCCCTCGCACTTTCTGCACCATCTCAGGGCTCAGCCTTGTCTGTCCAGGTGCCCGGAGATGTGTCCCTTCTGCAGCTGCCCAGGGGCTGAACCTGGTCCTGGTCTGCGCCTGGTACACACCCGGGCCTCTGCCTGCCGGGGGGCGCGTGAGGAAGGAGCCCTCTGTCTGCCTTTGCCCTGACTGCTCACCACGCCTGCCTCCAGGGGAGGCTGTCAGTGACCTGGTCACCTGGCACTCCATCCACCTTTGTCGGATAGAGTCCCCAGAGGTGGCATTCGAAGCAGGCCTTAGAAGGACAGCCTTCCAGGTTCAAGGCTTCCTTTCCTCCAGCTTAGGAAACAGCCAGTAGCCACTCCGAGCCCCTTTTGGGCCATTCTCCCCAAGCTGCGTCTTGTGCCACTGCTTCCTCTTTTCCAGGCAAAGCCTCACTTCCACCTTTACCCTCAAAACAGAGGCCACTAATAGGGACACAGGTCATTGACCACCACACGCTCCACCTGCCTTTCCTAGTTCTCAGACTGTCTTCTCTCTCACCATCTCTACTCTGGACCCTTCCTCCCAGGGACTCAGGGCTCTCCTCCTCCCATCCTCTCTCTAGACCACCTCAGCCACTCAAGGCTTCCTCATCAAGGCCACTGTCCCCCGTCCCTTTATCTGCATCCCAGATCTTTCTTGAGCCCTAGGCCTTTAAAACCAATTGTGTCCTAGACATTTTTCCTTGGAAATGCCCCACAGGTCCCACGGACTCATCGCTGCCTCCTCTCGCTCCAAAGAGCATCCCCTTCAGTGCTCTGTTTATATCTTCTCAGACTGGAGGGGCGTCACCTGGAGGACTTGTGAAAGCACAGACGCTGGGCCTCTCCCCAGAGTTTCTGAATCAATAGGTCTGGGTGGGGCCCGAGAAGTTGCCTTTCTAATGGGTTCCCAGAACCAAGCTTTCAGAACAGCTGGGCTAGTGAGCAGCGTCACCAGCCCATCTCTCCTCCTGTCACCAGAACATTCTACCAATGACCAAATCCTATACTTCCCTCCTCCACGTATCTCGTAACCCTATCCCTCTCCTTGGCATCCACCTCCTCATGCTCTGGCCCTGCACCAGCCCCTGAACTAGTTCCCTGCCTTCTCTTTTGGTCTCTTAATGGCACATAGACTCAGGGACACTGTCTCCTTCAGGGCTGGATTCTCAGCACCTGGCTCAGTACTTCACACGGCGTGGGTGTTCAGTAAATATTTGCTGAGGACAGGAAAGAAGTGGGAGGAAGGAGGAAGGAGGGAGGGGGAGAAAGAGGGAAGGAAGAAAAATAAAAAGGACCCATGCCCCAAGGGAAGGAAGTTTGCTCCAGTCATGTTGCACACAGGTTGTTAGAGTGGTCATTCTAGAACGCAAACACTTATTTTGATGGCATCATGTCCCCACTTAAAAAATTCAAGTAATTCTCCATCGTGTCCAGGATGAAGTTTGAACTTCATCTATGATGTCTGAGGCCCTTCAAGCCCTGGCCCAGCCTTCCTTTTCAGCCTCTCCTCTCCCAGCGTCCCCCTCCCCCCCAACACTTGACATCTCACTTCACTGACCAAATGCTATGCTCCTTCACATCCTTGCCTTTGCACCTGCTGTTCCCACTACCTGGAATGGCTTCTCCTGTGATTGTACCTTAATTTATCCTTCAAGCATAGCTCAGATGTCACTACTCAGATAAAGCCTTCCCCGGCTCCTATGGCGTCACCCATACCTCTTCTTCCTGTACTCCTTAGGAGACACTGTTCCAAGAAGGCAGGACAAAAATAACAGCTGCTCACATGACAGACCACTTACTACGTTGCCAAACTCTTCTGAGGGCTCTGCACAGATTAACCTTAGTCCATCCTCACACCAACCCTGTGAGGGATGTGCTATCAGCCCTCACCCCACTTGACAGAAGTGGAAACTGAGGTGTAAAGAGGTTCAGGTAACTTGCCCAAGGTCATCCAGCCAGGAAGTGGGAGAGCTGGGCCTTGTTCACCACTGTGTGCCTGGGTCCTAAACACAGGGCACAGCACATTCAATGCGCCCATGATTATTCTTTGGAGGAATGAAGTCTAGCAGGCAGTATCTTTTCTTCAACTCTGTATCCCTATACTAGGCAGGAAATATAGGCTAATGTTTTTGGAACAAATGAATGGATGGATGGATGATGAGTGAATGAATGATGCAACTGCCTGCTTGCCGGAGCATGAATTTAAATTTAGCCCTGTAAGCGTCCTGATGCCACGTGGCAAAGGGTTGAGGGGAGAGGAGGAACTGAGTGACCGGGGAAAAGTGTGCAAGCTGGAACTGGTTTGGGTTTCTTTATCTTAAAGTCTTTGTTTACTCAAAACCTACCTCCAGGTAGTCTAAATTAATATAATTTTCTTCCTATGTGTATATCAGGGGTTTGGCAATAGAAAACACTTGAAAACAACTTCCAACAGCTCAAGACAGATCTGGCCCAGGCAATGATACCTGCCCCTGCCCCTGCCCCAGCCCCGGTCTCTACCCAGCCTCAGCCCCATGCGGCCAGTGTTCACAATGGTCGGGATGAGGGAGCAGAGCGGAGGGGTTGAGGGGGACAGTAGGGCGTCTGGAGTCAGAATTGCCTGGGTTTGCCCTGGCTCGACCACTTACTGGGTCTGTGACCTTGGGTAAGTCACGTTACCTCTCTGAACTCTGGTTTCCTCATCTGTAAAGGGCAAAGAAAAGAAAGAGCGTCCTCCTCACAGTTTTTGCGAAGACCAAGGAGATCACTGCCTGGCACCAAAACCTGTGTGCCGAGTGCTATTTGTTCTGTGTCATCATTGAAGGATCTGATGTTGCTGGACCCTCTCAGGAATCTGTGAACCAGCTAGGATAGGGATTATTCCCATTTTTACAGATGAGGACACCTGAGGCCAAGGACCTCCCTTCATGGGCCAGACAGCAAATAGGTAGCAGAAACACGGCTCCCTCGGAAGATAATCTAAACTCCTGAGCTTCCAACTTAGGTTCACTGGACGCCATCTACTGACCAAGGCAAGGAAGTGGCCAGAGATGGAAGAAAATGTGCAGCTGCTGGAAGGATGCGCCCTCTGGTTGGACTTTCAGGCACAACCCTTAGGCGTTGCCAATAAGCAAACAGCACCATCCTCCTAACTTTACTGCTGCTGGGCTGAGATGGCCCGGGTAACCGACGCCCAGGAATTGCACCTCCCACAGTATTCGATTTAAAAAACGGAGTCTGACCAGATGGCCTGTGGCAACTATGGTGCCAGACAATTTCACTGTTTGGCCCAGACATGACACAGGGAGGGCAGATGAGGACGTCCTCAAGCAGCTGGCGGTGTCAGCTTGTTATCTGGCTATTTCTGGGGCAAGAAGGCTGGTCAGAGAGAGAAGTCTCCTGGGTCCTACTTACCATGGTGGTTGATATGGTCTCAGTGGTGATGGAGGGAGCAGTGGTTATGAATTCCTTCCCCCCTAGGGCAGTCCCATCCACCTGTGGTCAGAGGAAGGAGCCATCAGAGAGGGACACAGAGAGAAGCCAGATTCACCTGCAGCATCTGCCCCCTGGGCTCACGGCAATCCCCGTGACAAAGTGACAGGCTGTGTGAGTGAACGTGCACTGGGGGCACGTGGGTGTTCACACACAGACTGAATTACAGACGGGCCTCACAGAGCCTCCCGTTCACTTCAGTCATCTTACTTGATTGACAAAGGAAAAATAATCCTGGACAATTTGATCAATTCTATCCAAATCTTAATGCATGTATTCTTTGACCTGGTGATCCCATTGCTAGGAATTCACCATTGGGATATAAACTTTGAAAACTTTGCCAAGAAGTATAGACAAGGAAGTGCACTGCAGCACTCATCGTTAACTGCGGAAGAGGAAAACAAGCACAGGTCCATCGATGGGAGGCTGTGTGGAAAACCAGGGTCCCCTCCTGAGTGGAACTAAGAAGACTAAGGTGGGTCCACATATGCCAGCAAAGGTCGATCTCCAAGAAGATTGTTAAAAAGGTAAGGTGTAAGACAGAACAATCTCTTTCCTGTAGAATTTTTAAATATCTAGAGATGTAAGTATACACGTTGGTATATGCATACATATTTTTCTGGGAGGAATCAGAACAAATTTCATTTAGTTCTGTTTGAATTTCATAACTGTGAACATTTTGATGTCAGTAAGGATTACTGAGTTGTGGAATTGGGGGCCAATTTTGTTTTCTTTTTATTTCTCTGTATGAAAACAAAACCCACGTTACAAAACAGGCCAGAGGAGGAACACGTTGCCTGAGGTCACAGCTCGTCAGAACTCAAGAGTCCCAACCCAGGAGTCTCGACCACTGCACTAGCAGCCTCTTCAACCCCATGCGTGTTATAAAAGTGGGAGGGAAAATTCTGGAAATGGCAGCATTCCCCATGTTGTGTTGGTTTATGTTTTTCTTCAGTTCTTAAGACAAAGACTGGTCTCCAGGGCAAGAAAGCCCTCAGCACAGCAGCTCTCTGGCCAGAAAGAACCAAGAACCACATCTCAATTTTGAAAGTTTAAAAAGCACAGAAGGAACTTCGGAACCACCTGTAGCAATTCATGACAGCCTTCTCTGGGGTACTCAGTGTTTCCTCTCACTAAGACAGCGGTTCTCAACCTGTGGGTCACGACCCCTTTGGCGGTCGAACGACCCTTTCACAGGGGTCCCTAAGACCATCCTGCATATCAGATATTTACATTACGATTCATAACAGTAGCAACATTACAGTTATGAAGTAGCAACGAAAATAATTTTATGGTTGGGTCACAACATGAGGAACTGTATTTAAAGGGCCAGAAGGTTGAGAACCACTGCACTAAGACAATGATTTGGGGGTCTCTTTTCCCCCCGTTTATTCATTTTGCCAATCTGATGTGGAACCCTCGTGCATAAAAAAACGACCCAACATAAGCCATTGTGACTGAAGCTGGCTTGGGGTCTCACATCTTCTCTTTCCGAGCAGGCCCTGGGGTACATCAAGAAACCTCTCACCCTGGCCAGTTTTCTCAGTGGTTGGAGCATCAGCCCATGGACCGAAGGGTCATGGGTTCGACTCTCAAGTCAAGGGCAAGTACTGAGGTTGCAGGTTCGATCCCCAGATCTCTCTCACTCTCCCCCCCCCTCCTTTCCTCCATCCCACTCTCTCTAAAAATCAGTGGGGAAAAGTATCCTGGGGTGAGCAACAAAAAAGAGAAGCCTTTCCAACTCCTTAGAGCAGTGATGGCGAACCTATGACACGCGTGTCAGAGGTGACATGCGAACTCATTTTTTTGGTTGATTTTTCTTTGTTAAATGGCATTTAAATATATAAAATAAATATCAAAAATATAAGTCTTTGTTTTACTATGGTTGCAAATATCAAAAAATTTCTATATGTGACACGGCACCAGAGTTAAGTTAGGGTTTTCCAAAATGCTGACAAGGACAGAAGAGACATGATCATCCCACGTAATGGATGGGGACGTTGAAGCACTAAGTGGTGTGGTCTGCCCACTCCCACAGCTCAGGAAGGACGGTAAAGGACTCAAGAGCATCAGCGCCAAAATGAGGGCTCTGGGGGAGCCAAGGTGGCCAGGGTTGGCCAAGGGGCTTTGTCATGGTGCTGATCCCACCCCAAACACCTAATACCTGTGGCTTGGGGAACATGAAAGGCACAGGGTACCTGGGTGTCCACAGTGGTGACTCTGGTCTGCAGCACAGCCTCTGGCTCGATCTTCTTCCTGATGGCCAGACTGCTGACGGTCATGGTTTCCGTTTTCACGGGCTGCACGGAGATGAGGAAGAACACTTCGTAACTCGAGCCCCGGCATGGCTCCTGTCACAGGCAGCTGCGGCGTAGGGTCAGCAGGTTATCTCTCACCCCTACAGCTGGCCACAAGTCTCCAAGGGTACACAGGTCAGGGCAAAAGAGGCCTGGTGTGATATTACAGACAAACATCCCGGGAGGAGAGCCAGAACCACCAGCAGCCACCGGACAGGCCTGCCCGTGACCCTGCAACCACCTAACCTCATGGTGGCTACTAGTATATGCTGTTTTCTTAGAGCACCATTAAGAGAATACCTACTATTTAGTGAATGTGCTGTGTGCCAGACCCCATGGTAGGTATTTTCCCTACATCCACGCCACTAAATCCTGACCGACTTCAATGGTTATGCTACCACCTCATTTGAATTGTTCTTTAGAGCAGAAGCCACACACCTGGAGGCCCCTGGGGGCCAGGAAGGGGGTGTAAACAAGTGAAGTGGGCTTGTTGAGGCCTGGGGGGAACTTTGAAGCACATGGGGTGCCATTCAGGTTTGGCCAACTGTGGCCATGGCTTCTGAGTGACTGGGTCATCTGATTTTTAAAAAAAAATTATGTAATTTTTTAATGATATAAGAAAAATCCCTGTATTTTATATTCAACGCCCTGATTTTTAAATCAAGATCAAAGAAAACAGCCCGCTGGCACGGCTCAATAGTTGAGCATTGACCTATGAACCATGAGGTCACGATTTGATTCCTGATCAGGGCACCTTCCCAGGTTGCAGGCTCGATCCACAGTAGGGGGCATGCAGGGGGCAGCCAATCAATCAGTGATTCCCTCTCATCATTGATGTTTCTATCTCCCTCTCCCTCTCCCTTTCTCTCTGAAATCAATACAAATATATTTTTTAAAATATATGTAAAAAAGAAAACACATCTGCTAGCCAGGTCTGGCCCGAGCCACTGGTTTACAACCTATGCTCTAGAAGTCATTAAGTTAAATGATCAGTTTCTTCTGCGTCCTCCATTGGGCTAGTTCATGGCTATCCACACAGCAGGTACCCACATATGTGAACTGAACTGAATGAATGAATGAATGAATGAAAGCTAGCTGGCCATCTGCTTGGGAGAGGGGTGACGGGTGAGGGGTGAGGAAACAAAAGAGGGGTGAGGGATGAGGAGACGGTTGTACCCCGGAGAGCTAGCCCTTCAGTCAATCAGCTACTAGTGCCTGCTCTGTGCGGGCTTCCAGGAGCTGCCACCTGGTAGGAGAGCAGACCAGTCAGCCACTGACATACTTGGGCTACCACCGGGAGCAGAGCATTACTGGGCCAGGAGGCTGTGGAGGGGACAGCACTTCTTCCCAGGGTGGTCAGGAAAGCATCTGCTAGGGAAGTGACATCTGAACTCAGTCCTGGAATATGACACACTTGCAGGGCCGAGAAAGGAAGGAATAACCTTCCACCCAGAGGCAACAGCACCAGTGAAAGCCTGAGTGATGAGCTCACGTCTCAGTGTCTGTAGGATGGGGAAGGGGAGAGTGGTGGGAGGTAGGCTGGGGCTAGAAGAGACGAGGGAGCAAAGGAATAACATGAACAGAGATCCTCTGAAGGAAGGACACAAAGCAGAGAAGCCCAGACAGTGCATCCCTGTGTCCCCCTCAGGGACGACGTTTCCGCTTCTCCAGGAGTTTCAACAGCTACCCCAGGAAGCCCAGGCCCCAGGGAAAGGAGCCCGGGCCGGGGTCAGGACAAACCCTCCGACTTTCAGACCAGGCCAGGGCCCCTGAGAGGCGTTACAGCACATGCTCTCTGCAGTGCCATGCAGCACAGGCAGGGGGAGGAGGAGTCGAGTAAGACCTGACTGCTGGTCACTGGTTGACCTCAGGCAAGCGATGGGTTCACAGGGTTAAAACGCCAAGGTGTGCATGTTAGGGGTAAACCGAGACGGCAAACATGCGAGCACAGAACCATGCTGTTCTGCGGAGGGACAGTCATGCAACACGAGACACAGCTTCAGCCTGAGGGATCTGGGCTGCAGGCTGGCGACTCGGTCTTCTCACAGACGGCCAGGGCCCTCTGAACATGCAGGGCCTGCTGGGCGCAGTCTCGACGATGCTCCACTGTACCTCAAACTGGGGCATATCCGGGGTGGAGCAGGCCCCTCGATCCGGGCTGTCCTCGAAGCCCCCGGACTCGTCGTCCTGGCTGGGGCCCCTCTTGCTGAGATCCCGGGAGAACACCAGGCCCTCCGTGTCTGAGTCGCTTTTGTCTCGGTCGAGCTCGGGCAGACTGCGGGAGAAGTCTTCGAAGGCGCTGCCGTGGTAGTCACCCATGACGGTGAAGTCAACCTCTGCCTCCAGGCTGGACGTGGAGCTGACGGTGATGCTGGAGCACTTACGCTCGATGGCCAGGTGGTTGTCCTTCAGGAACACCGCGTCCCTCTCCTGGTCCTGGTCCTCATCGCCCGTGTCACTCTCTGGGGCCCTGGGACGTGGTGGTTTGACTTTCTCCTCCGAGCCCTCCCTCAGCCCTGCTCTCTATGGCCAGATAAAATAAAAGGAACGGGAGTGTGGGACGAGAGGGAGAGAGAGAAAGAGAGAAATCAAGATGGTAAATGACAGAAGAAATCTCGGGGCCATGTCGAAGTCCCAAATGGAAGAGCAGGTCAGGAAACAAAAAACACCCCGGGAAAGGTTCCTTGACATCATAACAAGCTTAAAATAACCAAAAAGTTCCCAAGAGTGGGGACGCTGTTTTCCGGGGGTCTCCTGATAATGGCAAAGCAAGTACAAAGCAAACATCCTGCCAGTTGGTTCCTGGACAGGAGGCTCCATCCAACGTTTGGATCTGGGAGTTGATCAGAAGCGGCACTGTGCACAAGGCAGGGATGGGGGCCCAGGTCCCAGGCCCATCCGTGCAGGCTGGACTCGAGAGACAGAAACCAAGGAGGGAGACCCAGGGATCAGGAAACCCAGGCAGGGGAAGCAGAGGCTGGAGCCAAGAGCTTTCAGGAACAAAGAGGAAGCCAGCACGGTTTGTCAATTCCACTGAGTCCCCATGGGAGGGGTCAGCATCGTCTCTAGGGAGGACCAATATGGGGTAATTCCTGGGAGCTGGGTGCTGCATCAGTTCAACCCTGAGCTCCATGAGTGGGCCGACGGGCAGGCCATGGAGTGGAGGTTCTGGTCCCATCAGTGTAATTGACAACAGCAGGCCAAGGAAGTGCCGGAGGGGAACCAGCAGCTCTTGTCTGACATACATACCTCTCAACTGGCCTGTCAGGGATTAAACACCACTCATACATTTGGGGCTGGTTCATGACACTCCTTAAAACCAATCTAACACCCACCAAGTATGTTTAAAGTACATGGCTGCAGGTTCTAGAGATTCAGTGCATTTGGAGATTCGCTTGCTTAACCAGCATTCATTTAGCCAGTTTCTGGAAGGTTGAGAGGTGTGAGGACACGTTCAGACAAGCCAGAGTTGAGCTGCCATGAGCAGCACTGCCAGCGCAGGTGGGAGTCTAAGGCAGCGATGCACCCTGGCCAGGCGAGGGTGACCGGGGCATCGGGGCACCAAGGGGCTGCAGAGACCTGAGGGCCTGAGGGGCCGACGAATCCCAGGCGCCCCCCTTTCCCAGGGGGTTTTGCTGCTAAACTGGCGAGGCGCTTCTCTTCCCTGACTGCATCTCCGGGTTTGTTCTGGATCAGAGAAGACAGTTAGTCTTAAGGAGGCAGAAAGGCTCTGGGCACTGGGACCGAGAGGGAACCACAAGTGAAGGATGAAAACTTCTGGACTGTAGCTTCCCCAAGGCAGGAGAACCAGGGAAGGGAAAGGATGAAGGAAGGTCACTGGATAAGCCAAGCCAACAGGTAGGCACCCAGCAGGTGGGGGCAGCAAGGCAAAGCGAGTGTGTAGTTTGCTGGCGGTGGTGCCACCTTCTCCACTGCGTCAATGTGGCCCTTTGGGCACCAGATCACACCAAAAGCTGCGGGTTTGTGGCTAAGCTCACGTGGGCCAAGCAGGTGAACCCTGCATTCTGCTTGGGCTACACTCGGGGTAAAGAACTCACAGGGATGGACAAGCAGCCTTGGATTGCACTAATGACGAGGGGCACTGAACATGCTTCTAAAAAGCTACACAGCATGCGGCCACTGCCCAGCTGGGGGCAGCGGTGGGAGTGGGGGCTCACGTGGCCAGCTCCCCCAGTAGCTTCCTCCAGCGTAGTTTCGCAGCCCGAGTCGGGAGACATGAGCTCGAGTTCCTGGTGGGATGTAGTAGAAACGCCCTCCCTGAAGTGGCTGGTAGTGGGTGACATCACTGAGGAATGCGTGGCATTGGGGCCGGCGATGTCCTCCGGGGGCGGGAGTTGGACGAAGCCCAGGTCTGAAAGCTTATTCTGCTGCTGCTCTGCCTGCCCTAGGGAGGCCTCTGAAGACAACTCACTTGGAAGGGCCCGTGTTTCGCCCTGACTCGCTCGCCAACTTTCAGCTCCATGGGTCTCAAAGATCCAAATTTTGTTGGCCACTGAGGTCTTGCTGATGTCTTCCAGGGAGCCCTCTTGGCCCCCAGCTTGGAAAGGAGTCATCTTTGGCTTCCCTGAAGGGAACCCCAACCTTAGAGCTGCAACTCCCTCAACTTCTTCAAGGACAACTCTGCGCTTTCTGCTGGCAACGGGAGGTGCCTTGCGCTCACCTCTGTCCAGAGTCACAACAGGCTCTACTTGGTCCTTGGGTTCTGGGCTCTCTCTGAGAAACACCGGGGGCTGTTCTCCAAGGGGATCCCCGAGCTGCAAAGGCTCCCCTGACCCATGAGAGGCTGGGCTCGCAGAAGCGTCCTCAGGAGGAGCCTGAAAGGGACCACGGGAGGCTGGGAGGGGGTTGATCACCTCCATCTGAAGAAACTCCGTGTGAACCTTGCTGTGCTCCCTCATGGGTTGTCCTGTTTGGGTGTGAACTGGTCCCTTGTCTTTGGGCAAGAAGTTGTCTCTGTCCGGTTTGGCTAGTGTCCATGGAAGGGCGCAGGCCGGGAAGTCTGGGCACACACCCGCTCCTCTGTGAGGCGAGTGGTTCCTCCATGCTGCTGGGGGACTTTTCTCAGCCTTTCCCATCAAATCTAGACTCCCGCGGGCCTCTTCCTCTGCAGTAATGGCAGGTGCTGGGTGGGTAAACTCTCCTTCCACCCCCCACCCTGCTTCTTCCCAATCCTTAGCAAATCTCTGCCCTGGAGAAGATCCATTACCGAGCTGCTGGTCAAAGGCCTCCAGGTCATTGGGTCCTCCGTGGTCCCTGGGAGGCCCCACCCCTTTCTCCAAGGAAGCTGTGTGAGCGTCACCATCTTCATCCTTGCTCCTTCTGGAAGCTGTCGGAGAGCCCCACTGGTCAGAGGCCCTCAGCTCAGAGCTCTCTGCAAGCTCTCCCGAGAGCTCCTGCCTGGACTCATCTCCAGGAGGGGCTTTCAGGCGCTCTCCTCTCTCCTCCAACAGTGGAGGGAGGATTTGGTCTTCAAAATCTTTCTCTCCATAGTTGAAATAGAAGCTCCTCTCTGCAAAGGAAGTATCGGTTTCATCACTCGAGTCGGCTCTGTCTTCCTCGTGGGCTGGGTCCAGGAGAAACGACTGAAGTCCTCCCTTGTCAGAGGTTGGAGAGGAGACATCCACCTCTGCTGGCCCGGTCACCAGGGCAGTGGGCCTTTCACAAGTCTGGATCTCCTCCAGCTCCTTTCTTAGCTCCACATGGCTCTCCAACTGACCCGAGACCCGGCGCTTCCTGATGGTGGCCTCCCCGGTGCCCATCCTGAGCTGGGAGCCCTCAGGAAGCTTTTCTGCCAGAGAGCAGCCTGCAGCCAGGGACCCCCCTCCCGGGCCATTCCCGCCCCGGGGGCCCTCCTCCCACAGTGACTCGAAGTCTTCAGGGCTTGCAATCATTCTTCCTTTTTGCTGGATGTTTGCTCCTCTGGCTCCCACCATTTCCTCTGTGGCCACTTCAACCTTGAACTTGTCCACCAGGATATCCACCTTGGACAGTCTGCCATCGGCAAGGATATCTGCAAGGCCTGCCTCACTTTCTTCCTGCTGCATGGCGGCCACTTTTAGAAGACTGAGTTCTTCTGGCCTAGTGTACTTCCTTTCTACAAATACCCAATGCTCTGAACCCTGTGTTTCAATTGGAGCAAGAAGAGTTAACATGAAATAGCAGGCACCTGAAGAACAGGTCACCTTTTCCCTTTACAAGAAGGGCCCATCTACCAACAAAAGGTCAACATGTCTGTCCCCAGAACTGGCTGGGGAGAGGAAGGCATGACAACACTAGTCAGCCTCATCAAAGCTCCTCTTCCCATCAAAGCACCCAATAAATTATTTACCAACTCCCCTCACCGCCACCCCGACTTGGTAAAATGGGATGGGGTCTCCTCATGTTAACCGTGGGGAAAATGGAGATCCATGGATGGGCCAGGACTCTCCCTCTTCCGTTTTCATAATACAACTGCCACTGTCGGAGGGGAAAGTAGCTGATGTTACATGAAATCATTGAATGTTGGAGCCAAAAGAACTTCTAAGACACCTTCAGTCCAATCTCCTCATTGTGCAAATGCGTAAACTCAGGCCTAGAGAAGGTCGGTGACTTAGCCAAGGTCACAGTTCATTGACAGTAGAGTCAGGAAAAAAGTGTCTGAGTTCTGATGACTGAGATCCTGGCTAACTTATCTCACAACGTATGGAATGTGGGTCCCACTGTGATCTAATGTCAAGTTGGTGGGAAGTACTGAGATAAGTTCCATAAGCTGACCTTCCTGCAAGAGCTTCTGAGAAGGAAAGAGATTTGAATGAAAAACACTAACTGGCCAGCTTTCCTGCTTAGTGCCAGTCACCGCAATGGCTTGAACAGCTTGAACTTGGTGGGGTTCATTCACAAAGAAACAGGTACCATGGCCTGTCCTTGGAGAATTCTAACGAAATCCACAGAAAGAGTAGACAAGGACTGACCGGAACACATCACCGAAGGAAACAATCTAAAGATCCAGCCATATCTTGGGTCGAAAGCACCAACAAGAGGGCAGCACTATCAAACCACTGACAGAACAGCCCCCACCTCCCTTTTGAACAACGCTTAGGAGGGAACCACGGACTTCTAGAATCATTCAAAAAGCAAGAAGGCCATTGGGGTTTTAATCTTACAGCCACAGAAAACTTTCTTCAGAATCCAAATCTCAATGGAAGTCTACTATGTAGCACAAACATGGGGCTGCTCTGTTGAAGTTGGGGGCCTAGTGCCCTGAGGTACTTTCCTCCTTTGAAATCACAGCTCTGAGCCAGCCCCTCATGGTACAGATGTGGAAACTGAGGCCTAGGGAAGGTGAGCACCATGCCCACGGTCAGAGAGTGAGCTAGTGCCAAGGCAGGCCTAGAACCTTCTCTGAGTCCAAGTTCTGTGAGATGCATCCACGGTAAGATGTGCCCCAAACTGCTCTCGACAACAAGCTGGGGAAGTTTATCTGACCTTGGGCTCCGGTTCAGGTTATGACTTGGTGAGGCAAGATCCCATCAGACCTAAAGGGTTCTGCAGGATCAAGGGAACACTGTAAACCCTCTTACCTCCATTCCCCCACTCCATTTCAGCAAAATCTCCATGACTATCAGGGAAGCAAACCACATTAAGAGATTCTCGCCAACAGAAAAGAGAGATAAAAGGAAGGGGGAAGAGTAAGATGTGCCCCAAACTGCTCCCGACAACAAGCTGGGCAAATTTATCTGACCTTGGGCTCCGACTCAGGTTATGACTTGGTGAGGCATCTGTCAGATCCCATCAGACCTAAAGGATTCTGCAGGATCAAGGGAACACTGTAAACCCTCTTACCTCCATTCCCCCACTGCATTTCAGCAAAAACTCCATGACTATCAGGGAAGCAAACCACATTAAGAGATTCTCGCCAACAGAAAAGAGAGATAAAAGGAAGGGGGAAGGCCCAGATAAAGCCAGGGGTAGGTTCTGAGATTTTACTTCAGGTTGTTAAGCTTTCAGGACCACAGCACTCGGACTTTCCCGGAGAGAAGTGCTCTGAGAGCCTACAGATGCCAGGCCTCTCTTCTCTTCGACTTGGGAAGCAAGTGCCTTCAGTTGCTCCCGTCTCAGCGTGTACTGGCATCATCAGCCTGGCAAGGACAGCCAAAGACAGTCCACGAAGTCCCTTCTGGAATATTCTTGCCCCAAGTCTAACTAGAAACTAGTTTCTAGGCTGAGTGGGATGGGAGCTGGCACAGAACAGAAAGATTGTATAGGGGGAAAAAAGGGAAATGTACTTATATTTAATTACTTTGTGCCAGGCAATACCAGTCTTTTGACTAAGTCAGCAATTTTCAACCTTTTTCATCTCATGGCACACATAAACTAATTACTAGATTCTGAAGCACACAAAAAAATATTTTTTGCCGATCTGACAAAAAAA